ACGTTCAAAATGCCTCAATTGGACTCCTTTGTTTACTTCCACATAGTGACATCACTATGTAATAGTCGGCTTCTATTTGCCAGCGCTCTAACAAATTGTATATGGCTAAGGGGCGGGACACCTCTAAACGGTTGACCGATCACAAGAGCCGGCTCACACTGTGCAGTAAAATCCAATTATTGTCTAAATCTGATTACTTTGCATGGAAACATGAGCAGTTATCCACAGGAATAATGATTTTAGGTGCTATTAGGAGAGGAAACGTTTTATGAGTGCATGCCAGTTTGTTTTTTTCTCAAAAACTCTTTTCTCCCACTTTTCATAGTGCAGCCTATTGTCGGCCTGACTTACTGTATGTGGGACACAACTATTCATTTTCCTTTTTTTTTGGTTGGTTAATGGTCCAGATTTCAGGAGGAGACGATACGTCTGACACGTCTGCAGCAGGCTATATTTCATCATTGTGCATTTATCTCCACCAGTATTGGGGTCGACCCACTCACAACTGACTCACTTATGGAGGAGTATTTCTTACAAATCCTAAAAGATACAAACAAGTGCAGAGTAGTTTGAAAGAGTGGAGAACCTTTTATGATGGTAAAGCCTGCTGTTTCCTGGCAGTGTATAGTGGTGCAGGAATGAGTCCTAAAACCCAGAAATAACCATGCTGTAGTTCCTTTATATAAATGTGTGTTTGACACAGACATTATTTTCTGTATTAATCCAAAATCACATTGAACCAGGGAGATGCTGCCTTCAGGGTTTGACTACAAAACATGTAATCTCTGTACCAATCTACTGACATATACAGTAATCACACCTTCTCTTGTTTTAACAGGAATGCTGTCAATGGGAACAAAAACCTGTACGCCATCTATGACACAAGGTAAGAATCACTTCATGTATAGAAAGAGTGTTTGGGGTGGTAATGGTATGACGTGTACATTATGTAAATAGTCAATTATTAAACAAGAGATAGAAAAGATACAGTTTCAAAGGCCAATAATATGACATAACAATGGACAGGTCATTTTAATTGTTGGTCTTAAACATGATATTCTGTTTCTCCAAAGCTTGGCAAAAAAATCTTCCACAAAAGTGTTTCAAAAAAAGTTTCCTTCTTTGAATTGAGCCAGAAGTGTCTCTCTTGAATGTATGTGAGAAAGTCTTTGGGAAATCTTCAGCTCACTCTTCCCTGCAGTGATATTGAACTTCTTCCACTTCTGCAAACACTAAAGCAGACAAATAAGAGAGCAGGAGAGAGAAATCTACACATAGCATCGACGTCAAAAAATCTACACAGAAACAATTGAAGTTGAGTGACACAGCAAAGAATCAACAACAATTACTTTTTTAAATCATTATTATAATTATCCCTAAATTATAATTATCTCTGGAGGGAAGAGAGAAAACCCCAAAAAGCAGAGCCCCTTTAACTTGTAATGATACATGATCCATTATTTGATGATTATATCTTTGTATTAAAGTACAATATGTTCCTCTGAGATGTAGTTGAGTAGAAGTATAAAATAGCAGACTGGAATGTAAAAGTACCTTAAAGTTAAATAAAGTAGGCTACACTAAATATACTACTGTTATATATCTCTATACTGATCAAACAAAACAGAGGTGTCTCACACACACATATTGTCTCTTGTAAAAGCACCTCCTCCTCCTCCTCCTCCTCTTCCTCCTCCTGATGCATCTTAACGTAATTGAACTCGTGCACTACTCACTTCAATAACATGCAGAGTGTCACATGGGCTTTAATGATCACCAAGGATTGCCCCGCGCACACTGACACGAGGATTCATAATGAAAACTCACACACTGAGACCTCTCTGAGTTACAACATGATCTGCGAGGGGATAATTTGATGTTCACTCATGCTGCAGCACTTTGCAAGGAGGACCTGTGGAAGGATATTTGAGAGTGGCTAACCGGACCATGGGGAACCGGGGTGAGGCGGCTGTTTCTCGGGTAAACGCTGCTCCTCCCCCCGCCTCTTGAAGCATGTTAACCGGCTTCATAGGCAGACGCAATGTGGAGGGAGCCCCGCGTGGTTTAGCGGAGGTTTGCCTGAGTGTGTACACTTTGTTTTGTTGCACACACACGCCATGTGGGGACCGCTAAAAACGGATCGTTTGCGGGACCTGCTCTCTCTGCCGCTCGTGGTGGCGGTGGTGGTGTGTTGTGTGCAGAGGTGAGCCAGGGTTATTTTAATTATATATTGTAAAAAATGAAATATGCAAGCTGATCTAAGTATCACAATATAAAAGTAATGTAACCAGATTGTGTTCCGTTACTTTTGGATTACTTCTCAAATGCAATAAAAAGTACCAATTCAATAAAAAGTACCAATGCATTCATTTAACAATATTTCATTACAAGTGAACGTCCATTTAAAATCTGATTTAAGTAAAACTCCCGAATTGGCAAAATGTAAAAAGTGAAATGGGTAATTCTGCAGAAAAACGTGTAGATAAACAAAAACTCTGATATATATTATTTTACTTTTTGTAATCTGTGGGGGTTTTTCGGGGGTTTTTGTACCCGAAAGAGTTGGTCCACAATTTAATTTTTGTTAAAGATGAATTATGTTAAAAGTTAAAGAAGCTATATATGTTAATTAAATGCAGTAAAAATACATGTTTTACATTTTTTAAATAAAGTGGAGTAGAAGTGTTATTAAATAAAAATATTCAAGTAAATTACTCGGCTGTGGTTTCACTCGAGACTGGGTAAGTGTTGATATGTGTCCATGTGCTTCGTAATACATCTTTCTATATTTAAAAATGTAAATAATCATTGTAATCCTGCATGTGATCCTTTATTTAAATAATTTGAATAAATCTTTTTTACGTAACTGTAAGAGAATAGTTACCTTTTTGTTAACCTGATTATGTAATCACGTTACTTCCTAAACCTGGTCTGGGGACCGAGGTGTTGTCGTGGTTTTAGACACATTTTACTGGGGATAAGATTTCAACAGTTATAGTTCAACATTTTCCACAAAAAGCAAAATGAATAGCATGATAGGTATTTGATTCAGCAATATTATTTTAGTAACATTTGTTTTAATTTTATAAAACACATTCCTGTTAACTTCACACACTTCAACAAATGGTATTATCATAGATTGTTCTCGGGGCCACAGGGGGTCCAGGCTCAGTGTTACAGGGGCACTGGACCCTGCCGGCCCCCCTAGAACCACCATAACCAGGTGCGCGGACTGGTGGTTCCCCCGGAGAGTTACCATCGATGTTTCTCTCTTTTCAGCGCCAACAAGCCGGGGAACATGTCCTTCGTAAAAGAAACCGTCGACAAACTGCTGAAAGGATATGACATCCGTCTCCGGCCCGACTTTGGAGGTATGTCCCACTTTTCTTGTGTTGCACAAAAATGTGTTCCAGAGTCGTTTCTGTACCTTACGGTTTACTTTAATCTACCTTAACGTGTCGTTCTGTGGGTAAAAATAAGTAGAATATTAAAAGTTTTACCAAATTGCAAAAATAATCACTATCAAAGTATACTTTAAGTACCAAAAATGTAAGTACTAATTATGCCGATTATTTAATTTCTTAATGTTATTAAGAATGTATAGTTAATCAAAGTTATCAAATAAATGTAGTTAATTAAATATACCTTTTTACGTTGCACAACTGATTATGTTCATATTTCTTAGCATTTGACATACAATATTTAATTTTTACTGTTTTACCTCAACTATCTCAAACTCTTACTGTGGTGCAATACTTGACCAAATGTTCTTAGTTACTTTCCATCAGTGGTTCTTAACTTCTTCTTTTTGTAACTGAAGGTAAACCGGTTGCCGTTGGAATGAGTATCGACGTGGCGAGCATAGACATGGTGTCAGAAGTGAACATGGTGAGTTCAATAAAAAGACTTTATTTCCTGTTTGTTTCATCTGTAGTTTGGGTGAACCTTTGTGGACTTATTTTGGTTGGTAACCTGACTAAAATAAAAAGCCTTAATCAGTTCAATATTTAAATAAAAAATGGTGACAGGGAGGCGTGTGGCGCAGTGGATAGAGCCTTGGTGTTGGGATCAGGGGGTCACAGGTCCCACTGCAGTCAGCATGTCGTTGTGTCCCTGGGCAAGACACTTCACCCCAAATTGCTCCTGTGGGGATTGTCCACAGTATTGAGTATGTAAGTATTTATTTATAGAAGGACCATGCATACACAAAAATTAATCTCAGCAAAGAGAAGAGATGCAATATGCCAGATTATAGCTAATAGCTCATTTCCATCTGTGGTCCGTACTTAGTTCCCCAGATTACGCAAATGAAGCCGCTGACCTCACTTCTTCTTCTGCTTTGGGTTTACTGGCAGGCCACAAACAACTTCACGGCGTATACTGCCACCCGAAGTCCCCGGCCGGAAGTCCCCGGAGTTGGGGACTGGCTTCAGTAGAAGCTGCTGGGACTCCCAGCAGCTTCTACTGAAGCCTTCCGAGTAAATCGCCAGAACGCCGACACCTCCTCATCACTCCACCGCTCCCATGTTTTTTTTTGTGTTGCCATAAGTCTTATGGCAACACAAAAAAAAACATGGGAGCGGTGGAGTGATGAGGAGGTGTCGGCGTTCTGGCGATTTACTCGGAAGGCTTCAGTAGAAGCTGCTGGGNGTTAGCTCTTAGCACTCAGAGCTCACAGCTCTTCATATCTGTTCAGAAACTAGACAAAAGTTAAACAAGTACAAACCACATACTGNTTGGTGCGCGGGGCTAATGCTAATGCTAATAATGCTAATGCCAGCAAATACAATGGCGGCTTCACAAAACCTTTCCGAGTTTTACGGGGCGTGGTTTGCAATTCGCCCAGCCAATCAGAAATTGGAACTTTTTTCTCCCCAGGAAAAAAGGGGGTGAAAAAGTTCTCATGAACTAAGTTCTCTTTTTGGTGTGAACGCAAAATCCCAGGAACTATCTGAACTTTTTGTATCTCAGCCTGTGGAGTGAGACTATGGAACAGTGTGAATGTGGAGCTAAAGCGATGTCCAGACATTAACCATTTCAAGAGGAAATACAGAGAAATTATTTTCTCGAGGTACAGGGATGGGGAAGGTGTTTGACTATGTGTATGTGTATATGTATATATATGTCAATCAACAGGTAAAGCAGATTAATAATACTAATAATATCAATAATAATGCATACAAATGATAATTATTGCAGATTATAGATTATAAATAAATCATTTAGGGACAAGGGGGTGAGATTAAATAAATTATACTTCTTCTCACTCCTTTGTGAACACTAGATGTGGCACTGTTTATGTTGCTAATGCTGTTGTTGTTGTTGTTGTTGTTGTTGTTGTTATTTCTCTTAAATGACTATGCACTGCAACATTTTTTTTGTAATTACTTATTTTACTTGTTCGAAATAAATGTATCAATCAAAAAAATCAATCAAATCAAACTAAAAGGGAAAAGTACGGGGAAAAGTACTCCGGTGTGAAAGCGCCTATAATCATTTGTATGATCGAGAACAAGAAATGTCAACATATACGTATGTTCTTTACAATATGAATTATGTCGGTGCAGTGTGTAATTTTAAAGCAGTTAATATATTTTAAATTGTCGTCTTGAGTGGTTTGGTTATCTGCTGTTTCACGTTATGGCTCAGCTCATCATGGTTCACTGGCTGTGTGACTCCAGCACTGAAGATTTAATAGTCCAGTTACAGAGGTCAGTGTGTTCAGAGCTGTCTTCTCCGTTCAGACATATAAAACAAGATAGACCTCCTTGTGTGGGTCACTGTGTGGGTCACTGTGTGGGTCACTGTGTGTGTGGGTCACTCTGTGTGTGTGTGTGTGTGTGTGTGTGTGTGTGTGTGTGTGTGTGTGTGTGTGTGTGTGTGTGTGTGTGTGTGCGTGTGTGTGTGTGTGTGTTTGCCATGTATCATTGGTGTGAACTGCTGACAGAGTCTGATGCTCCATCACCCGCCACCAGGAGAAAATATCCTCCGGCTCGCTGTCCTGACAAGATGAAATATATCTGGTCCCAGCAGGACAGTGAGAACTGAGACTCAGATTTAGTAAAATATTTGCATGGTTGAAAAGATTTAGTTGACATGTTACATAATAATAATCTTTGTGTCGGGATCATGATCACTCTGTCTGTTTTTTTTATTATTCATTAATGTAAACGTATCCACAGCTTAAATTGACCGTACATCTTTCTGCGGATTGGTATGACAGCACACTTAATCCTCCTTAGTAACGGTCTGCTCTCCTTAACAACCGTCTGCTAGCAAAAATTAACAGACCCCAGGAATTTCCAAATCGACCAATCAGAATCAAGTATTGAAACTAATTTGAGTATATTTTTTAATGCACGGCTTTCGATTGAAAGTTTAATAAACATGTATACTTTGTTTCTATATCATTCGCTTTGATAATCTATAATTAATTTTAGCACTTAACCAAGCCTAATTTCATTTTTAGTGATCACGCCCACTCTTAACTCGAGAGAAGCTACTCTACTCGAGCACTCGGCCTCCTCATTCTCGATTATATCATCCTGTCTGTGTTAATGCAGATGGTACAGAGAGAAAAATATATTCTGCTCATAGCCGGAGGCAAAGTACACATCTGAAAATAAACAATCCCAGTGCCACTTGAGCATGTGCTAAAAGTTGTTTACTCCTGATACAGTGAATTATAAAACACCAGGAGCTGTTTGCACCCTTTCCATAAGGCATTAAAGAAACAGTTCCATGTTAAATATTCAAATATATCCACTAGTGCTGCAAAATATTTATATTTGTTATCTTCAATGCAACTTCAATAAACGTTATAAGACATTGCGAAAGACGAGCATATTGAACTAAGTTAACCAACACTTAAGCTAAATGAAAATGAAGAATCTGCAACCACAGGAGTCAAATGTAATTGGAAACTGATTGTATAAAGGAACAGATGCCACGTCATTGCAGTTTGAAAAGTGAAGAGTAATGACAGCGCAATGAGTGGTGTGTCCTGCATTCTGTCAGGTCAGTGAAGGCGTCACACAGATGTCCGAGTGAAGAAGTGTCAGTCCTCTGATGGAAAAGACGTCTGATGAAAGTAATATGGGAAGAAGAAAAAAAAATGTGTGCAGGCGCAGAGAAAAAGCAAAGCTCAACACAATGACGCCATTACGGCCAATAACACATATTTTCATTGTGTAATCTTTTGATGATTTTCTAGATTAATTGTAAATCCAAAAATTGTGAAAAATGTCCATCCTGGTTTTCAAAGTCTAACTCAGCATCTTAACTGTTCTGAGAGATACTTAAATATTCATCTGCCTGTAGATAGACGATGTAATAAGCTGTTTTAATTCTATAATAATCATATTTAATTCATGCATACAGCTATCCTTATACACAAGGCTTTAACTATGATTATCTTCATTGTCGATTAACCTGCAGAATATTTCCTAAGGGTTTAATAGTTTGGTGTGTTAAATGTAAGAACATATTGGAAACCATAGATCCTAGTTTCTCAGAGTCCAAGGTTAAGTTCAAAACCAGTAGATATTCGCTTTTATATTATATGTAAACAATGAAAAGCTGGATATCTGCATATTTTGGATACTGAAGTTGGCATTTTTGCTTTGGAAACTAATTAAGAATCAATTGATTATTGTTGCAGCTCTAGCTTCTGCAGGCTTGGCTGAAATGATCCATATTTGAGAGACATTTTCTGACATTTTTGCTGAAAATATACAGTCGGACGATCGGATCGGTCTTTTGTTGCAGCTCTGCAAACTAAACTCCATCTGATGGTGAAATCCTTGGGTTAAATCATCAGCCTGATTTGCGAAAGCTGCTGATTGGCTGCTCTGCAAAGTGTATGTGTGCCCAGGTGTGATTATGTCCGTTATTAGCTGCAACTTTTAATGTGTTAAAAGGATAGGGGCTACATTTGGTAAATCGGTGTAGTGGTTTGTGCTTTGTTTAGAGTCGTGCTGTAAGAGAAGGCAGCAGACAGAGTGGATCTGCAGTGCAGCTCTTGTCTCTTTTCATTTACTTTCACAACATCCTGTTAGTGGTGTTTCTTTCTCCACATTTGTTCCAGAGGAGCAGGAAAGTTGTGAATTATCTGCAGTCTCGTCACACTACCAAAAGAGGTTATGTTTTCTGTTTGTTTTCCTGCAGTATTACACTAAACGTGACATAATAATAACACATTTAAATACACTACTACCCTACTGTAGGTAACTTAAATATCGTTATCACACTGCTATGTTGAATACTTGATTCTGATTTGGACATTCCAGATGTTGTTAAGGGCTAAGAGTTTTCATCTGTCAGAAAACACAGTGAAATACTTTTTTAATATATCCTTTTAGATTTGTGGAGAGCAGGAAACTTAGGATTCCTGATGACTAAACTGTGACCAGTAAAGAAAAGAAATAGAGAACAAGTGAAGGAAAGAAGTTGAAAGACAGAGAAAAGCAGAAGAAGACAGACAGACAGACAGACAGACAGACAGACAGACAGGAAGTAAACACTAAAGGGAACAGCAGGAGAAGACAGACAGGAAGTAAACACTCATGGGAACAGCAGAAGAAGACAGACAGGAAGTAAACACTAAAGGGAACAGCAGAAGAAGACAGACAGGAAGTAAACACTAAAGGGAACAGCAGAAGAAGACAGACAGGAAGTAAAAACTGAAGGGAACAGCAGAAGAAGACAGACAGGAAGTAAACACTAAAGGGAACAGCAGGAGAAGACAGACAGGAAGTAAACACTTGAAGGGAACAGCAGAAGAAAGACAGACAGGAAGTAAACACTATGGGAACAGCAGAAGAAGACCGACAGGAAGTAAACACTAAAAGAACACAGTATGGGCTCTGGAGGTGTTTAAAGACTTAATGGAGGAGAAATTGTGAACATATTTGGACAGTTACAGAAACCTCGATCAGTCTGCTACGTTGCTGTCACCGCCGCTTCTGGCGTTGGTAAGAAGGGGGAACAGAGTATTTTTTTTCCAGCCTCAGTCTTTCTCCTTGAACAGACTCAGAGAGAAGTGGAGTAAAGGTGTCGGCGGCGAGCTTTCAAACAGCCGGTCACACAAGCACAGTGCTGCCCGTTATAAACCGTGTGGGCGGCTGCAGAGCTGTTGTCTAGGAAATGAGAGTATTAATACAATTCTCACTTGACTTGCTGCACTCCTGTATTTATAGTTGGAAATGAAAATCGCCTAGTGTCCTTTTCTATTCTGATGATATTTTTGAAACCTCTAACTTATCCTGATATCCAAGTTACACACAGGGTTGGGAGGGTTACTTCCTACTTACTAGGGTTACTTACAATGTATTTGGTTACATTACTAGTTACCAGTAAAACTAATTAAACAGGGACGTTGAGATTGTTCATAGTGCAATCAAACCTTTCTGATTTATTTCATTTATTTTTCAGAACGTCTTTACCAAATAATGCTTAAAAAGGAAGTGGACTAGACAAAATTGGCCATTTACAAAGTGGTTGGGACATTTCCTCAAGCTTAAATTACACCTATACTTTTGAAGTACTTTGCCCACCTCCAGCTGTAGGAACAGAATGCAGTTTCTGTGTATTTATTTGGGACTTTATCGCCCACACTTCGCAGAGACACACCTGTCCATGTAAAAACCCTCCTAACTGTAATGCTCATCCTCCCTGAGGTGATGTTAGACATTATTCAGTATCCACAGTGAGAGTCAGCAGGAATCCATCATGTGTTTAACCCCCCCGTCCACTGGGACACTTTAACATTATCCACCTGCTGCCTGGAGGAAGTGTTAGCCTTAAGAACCGCAGACTACAGATTACATTACATGTCACTTGTTAGACACTTTTATCCAAATCGACTTACATACTCATACTGTGGACAATCCCCACAGGAGCAATTTTGGGGTGAAGTGACTTGCCCAGGGACACAACGACATGCTGACTGTAGTGGGACTCGAACTTGCTATCCCCTGATTCGAAGTCCAGCACACTATCCACTGAGCCAAAGCTCAGATAATATTGAAGGAGGTTAGTTAATGAGTCAGACCGATCAAACAGCCCTAAGATCCAGCTCGGTATTCTGATTGTTTTCTTCTGAGAAAAAAGTTAGAAAAAAAATGATTTAGAATATTTTTTTCTGAAAGTCTATAAAATAAATAATCGAATCCAATGATCTCAAATGTTTTCCTACTTACAAATACAAGTAGGAGCATTTTGATGTTGTATGTGCAATGCGGCGATTTGAGAACATTTAAATATGGGTCTCTGAAAGCTTGTGTATATTCCCTCGTTAATATCTAGTGGAATGATTGAAATCATTTAATGAAAGGCTTCACAAGGGTGTGTGGGAGGAAGCAGGGACACGGATCACTTTTGAATTCTCCTGGGATCTTTTATTTGACTCATGCAGAGATGGAAACCCTCCTCCTGCACGGTGTCTCTGACACAGTCTGTTCCTGTTCTACGGGCAGACGTCAGGGTGTCAGGTTGAAATAAACGATGTTTGACTGGCACACAGTAACCGTGACTGAGCGGGAGAGCGTGAACTCTCCGAGCCGAACAGGACACGACAGCCTCGTCCTCCCACTGGGACTCATTTACTCTGCGGTGCTGAAACAAACCTCCTTCTGTCTGCTGGGGTTTACGTATCCGACACCTAACAGCAACACCTCAAATCAGAGTAAAGACGGTGGATTTGGAAACCTCTATGGCATGGCCTCTGAAAGCTTTTGGATATCAGATATGTTTCTTTATAATGTAATTACCATTTGATGGAATATAACACTCAAAGTTTCAAGTCTAGACGGTCAATTCAATATTATCATTAATGACTTTCAGTGGAATTGTAGACTTATAGCACACTATTAAAATACTGTAATTTAATATATTTTGTTACTTTCCACCATAGTTGATTATTACAGAACAAGCTCTGACTCCACATTCAGATTTAGTCTCATTAATATCTGTCAAAATACTCTATAAGCGACTTTTGAACATCGGAGAATAAATACTGACTGTACACACACACTGAATTATTCATAGGGATCAATATTATGTTGTATTATACTGTCAGTCAAAGCACATTGTGTAATTTATCCCAAACACAAATACAGTTCGTCATGATGCATTCGCCTCGTTGATCCAAATGTGTTCGAGTAGTCAAGAAAAATAATTCAATTCTTTATTTTGTCAAAATGAAGTCAGCAGTTTCTGACTAATTATTCGTTTTGTGTAGAAACCAAACCTTGTATTGATCGTAACATCCGAAGCAAATCTAAGCGTTTTTTTATTAATACTCTTTGTTTTGAATATGCGACTGCAGCACAGGATTGAAATGTTGGCGTTTTCTGCACTGCCAAGTTTTTGTTTATTTCCTGAGACTTGCTTATTTATTTAAGAGAACATTAGTCAGCAGAACAATCGGCCAATCAATTATTCAAAATAGCTGAATGAGTTGCATGTTTGGCCGGTAAGGTGTAATGAAATGTATCTTTTAATCTATAGATTTATCCATCTTTCTATCAATTGCGGGTGTAAACTTTTGGTATCCCACACTTCAATTGAATATCGTTTACAATAATTTGTTAAAGAGGCCTATTATGCTATTTGGGGGTCTCCCTTTCCTGTAGTGTGTCTATCGGTTTTTGGCCTGCAAAGGCTAAAATCCCTGTGTTCCCCCCAGAGAGTTTCTCTCCCACTCTCCCCCTTGCATGAAACACCCTCCTTTGTTTACTACCAAAACATAGTGACATCAATATGTAACACTCAGGCAGGGGCGGACTGGGAATCTGCCCAGGACTCTCGACCGGCCCCTTCGGACCGCAGCCTATCTGACCGGCCCACATCGTCCGACCGGCCCACTTCAGTACCGGCCCATCGGGATTCGTCCCACTGCACTCAGGCTTCTATTGGCTAGCGCTCCAACACATTGTACATGGTAGGCTTAGGGGCGGGACATCACTAAGCGGTTGACCAATCACAACAGAGCCGGCCAGCTAACCAATCAGGGCAGAGTGGGCTCTGGTTTCAGACAGAGGGTGAAAAGAGGTGCTGCAGCACAGGCGTATGAGAAAAATAAATAGCTTTTTGAACATTAAGGCATGAGACAATCCTAACATATCAATGGTAAAAGATATCTATCTCTCTGATATGTGCAGTGTGTTGTGTGGTCACTAGATGAAGCACGGTGCGGATGCTGTGGCTGCAGAAATGTAAATCTATATTGTAGTAAAGTGTTTATTGTGAAGTGTCTGCAGGGTTCAGAGCTGTGCAGACAACAGCTGAGAGGTTGTTATGAGACAGGTGTGAGATACGGTGCCCTCGGGCACACTGATGAGCATCACAGCTGTTTGACCATCTATAAATATGATCATCTATAAATATCACCTTTTTTTTTACCAAAAATCCATCCTCGGCTCCGGGCTGCAGACATCCAGTATTTGACACATTTTAGAAGAGTCCGGCTTCAGTGTGGTCTACATTGTTGGCCTGAAGAGAAGACATTCGTATACACACTTTAATATGCTTTTGTTCCATAATGTGCATTTTTTAGATATTCTATGGAGATGTATTTTTCCACTGTTGAGTGATACATTATTATTTGTTTAGCTCAGTGCCTCGTTTATCTGTTGCTGCTTTCACCAAATGATTTCCCAATTTTAGATAAACAGAGTACATTTCATCTAATATTATAAGTGCACAGTGCATGGCAGAAGATCCTGAACGTAGCACAATTTTGAAACAGGAATAGTGTTTGATCAAGCTGTCATATACCCAAAGTTTGTCAGTACAATTGCATTCATCTGACTTTTATTTATGGTGAGTATAAGTACATTCTTCTATGTCCCCCCCTCAGGACTACACGCTGACGATGTACTTCCAGCAGTACTGGAGGGATAAGAGGCTGGCGTACCTGGCATCCCTCTGAACCTGACGCTGGACAACCGAGTGGCCGACCAGCTGTGGGTCCCCGACACCTACTTCCTCAACGACAAGAAGTCCTTCGTCCACGGAGTCACCGTCAAGAACCGGATGATCCGGCTGCACCCGGACGGCACCGTGCTTACGGCCTCCGGTGAGGAAAGATTTTACTTTACACGATAACATAGTTTGCAGGACCCTTATTTCCGCAGTGCAACTCTTCACCATGTAATGCAAACTCAAAATCTCGTCTCGATAGATTCAAATATGTTTAGGTTTTGATAATACGGACAAAAAACATTTTCATACATTGATTAATTTTGTGATTTCAGCTATTTTGCTCCATTCTCCTTTCAGACTAGTGGAAAGAACAATCTAAAGTCAACAATTATGAGTTTATTTGAATAACTTTGTGTCACGATTCTTTGTTGTGTCACGTTTTAAGTTTGTGTGTCTGGTAGTGGGTGTTTTGCTGTTCTCCTTGTCATGTTTTCCTCCCTGTGTATTGTCTGGTCTTTCTCCTGTGTTTTCTGTCTGTCGTTAGTTTCCCTGGTGTGTCTAATTTCCTGATGTTTTCATCTGTTTCCCTTCTGTGTCTCCTGTGCTCATCAGCGTCAGTCCGCCCCTGATTGTTCCCACCTGTGTCTTATGGTCATGTGTTTAAATTCCCCTGTCTCCCAGTGTTCAGTGTCAGTTCGTTTTGTCCTTGCTGTCAGGTCTATGCTCTTTTGTAAATCGTGAAAAGTTTTGTTCCTCACCACGTGAGCGATTACTTTTTTGTTCTCATTTTTTGTCATCTCATCCTGAGATTAGTTAGTGACCATTTGTTGCTGTATTTTGGAAAATAAAGTATCCTACCAATACTTTACCTCTGTCTCCCGGGTCGTGCAATTGGTTCCTATCTCCTAAGTGCCTGAGCTCGTAACAGAAACCCATTTTAGATTTAGCTATGTCCACATCCGCATGATGAAAGCATTGACACATTGTCAGAGAAATATGAATTTGACAGTTACAGTTGCTTTATAGTTGCCTATTATAATACTTGGGGGGCACCGCAATATCACGTGAGGCTGGCTGGCTTGACCGCAGTAAATAGAGGACGCTGTTAAGGGGGCTACAACTACAACAAGATGAACATATTTGACGTGATTTAATTGTAATACACGTTTCAAAATGATGCCGAAGCAACAACATACTGATACCGGATAGTAAAAACCATGAATTAAGGCTTTGACAAGTCTGCAACAGACGGCAGGAAGAAAGACAGGAAGTAAACACCGAAGGGAACATCAGAANATGCTGTCTAATCAGCATCTTGATATGCCACACCTGTGAGGTGGGATGGATTATCTCGGCAAAGGAGAAGTGCTCACTATCACAGATTTTTTCAGATTTGTGAACAATATTTCAGAGAAATGGTTATTTTGTGTGTATAGAAAATGTTTTAGATCTTTGAGTTCATCTCATGAAAAATGGGAGCAAAAACAAAAGTGTTGCATTTATATTTTTGTTCAGTGAAAGAAATGCGACTTGTTGGATGTGATACAACACATGACATTTGACCCACTTTGCTTAATTACACAGAGATTAAGTTGGTGTCGCAGCTAAGAGCTCGTGTTTGGATCAGATGTAATCACTAGAATGCATCACAATATGCAGATGTTGCTGATGTTATGTGTGAGTGTTGGCACAGTTTCACTCACGGGTGTTGACCTTTTAGCTTTGTATTTAAGTTGCCTGTAAACTGTTGTGTGTGAAGTACAACTGAGGGACTCTAGTGAAGTACTGTACCTACAAACATCGATGAGGTACTTTTATCTGAGTACTTTCATTTTATTCCACTCATTCTACTAATATATTGTACTTTTAATTCCAGAACATTTTGTTGACAGCTTTCGTTGACTTTACAAACCGCTGTAAACAAAGTACTTAAAATTAGCGCCACTTTTACCAGCTAAAATAAACACACTCTTGCATCAACTAAATATATTTATATACGATATGTGCTTCTGAAACGGGCCATTATGCATAACGTGTACTTTTGTAACAGAGTATTCTTGTGTTTTTATACTGCCACTTTTAAAACGTTGGAATATGCTGCTGATAGTAAACTGTCAATTATATTTGCCACTTTATTGATTTTGAAAAAATTATTATTTCATTAATCCAAGTTTATGTTGAGAACGAGCCCTGTGAAATGCAAAAACACTCACTCATACTGTGCTGTACATGCCGTAGATGCCCATAATCTGTGTGTGTGTGTGTGTGTGTGTGTGTGTGTGTGTGTGTGTGTGTGTGTGTGTGTGTGTGTGTGTGTGTGTGTGTGTGTGTGTGTGTGTGTGTGATTTATGTCCAATCTAACAGTATTGCATTAATCCAGCAACTGTGGTGTTAGAAGGCAGTCATTTAGATTGACCCCCTTCAGCCAGTCTGTGGATTATCGTCTCAAAGACACTCCACATTGTCTCAAATAAGTCTTTGTAGAGCTGCGTGACGTGAGCACATGAATCTTCTCTTAGGAGCACAAATTACTTTTGCATATTATTAAACAAATACAGCAAAAGGTATAAGAGGAGACCCTAATGGTGAAATGTACGGTGTTACAACAGCAAAGGGGACAAAGAGGGAAATAATTGTCCTAGACTCCTAGATACGACGTGCATGACCAACCCTGACGTCTGTTATGTCCTTTAAGGAGATAGGCTGCTTCAGCCATAATGTTGTTGTTCCCATTCTGTGACCGGGCAACCCTAGGTCACAGATGGTTTATTGTTGCGGGTGCACTGGGACACTTCCTTCTTTGTGTTTGTGGACTCCAAGGTGTGAAATCTTCGAGGCCATAAGTATCGGACGCAAGTGACTCAGTGTTCCCAACTGTTTAGACTATCTTCTCAAAATATGTTGATTACTCTCTGTGAAACCAGTTAAATGGGCTAACGAGAGAAGCTCCTAAATAAACCATCAGTGTTTGACATCAAAGCTCCTGCTCTTCCCGTGTCTCTTTCCTGAGTCGGTGACTCCCACTACATTGCTACACAGAAGTTTCCCTTACAAGTATCTTTGCAATTAATGTTTCAATTTGTACTTAGCTAAAAAGCTGTGCACATATTTCTACAGCGATAAGAACTGACCTGTAGGAATGGGTCCTAAAAACCCAAATAAGTTAGCATTTTAGCACTTCCTGTTTCCATCTTTTGGCTTTTTAAAGATGCCTAAAATAGGATTGGTGGTTTACACAAGCTTAATAATTTTCTTCTGTAGTAAAACACTGGGTAATTTCAAGCTTTTACACATCTTAAAAACGGCTGTAGCTAACAAGTGTCTAAATGAGACTACTAGATGTCAGCATGCCAAACTTTAGCTGCCTTTAGCTTAATGGCTATAACACAGTGAAGTCATGCTACGGTGGATAGCTATGTTGGTAAATAGGCAGTTATGATAAAGCAATATCATATTAGGTGACCATAGAACAAATATCTGATCCTTTGTTTTCTGGTACTCAGTACAAATTGTTTTGCAGCTTTTTTAAGGCAGAAGTATTGCTAATGATCACAGGAAGCACAATTTTTTGTGATGAGAAGTTCTCAAGAAAGCTGCAAAAGCAATACCACAGGCAAATCAAATGGCCCCATAAACAGATATATTTATAACGGACACTGTACTAATTGTATCAAAGCAGAGACTACAAAGACTAAAAGAGACCTTAGATAAATCTGAATGAACCAAAAAGATATCTCATCATGTGTCTATTTCAGTCAACTAAATGAAATAAAACGTAAACAACATGATAAACCCACTAGAACACCATTACTCAAACCATTAGGGTTAGGGTTACTGCTTGTGGCCAGATTTAAACTAGCAGCTGTTAAATATTTAAATATGTTTACCCTTACTCTAACCCTAGCCTTAACACCAACACTATCCTTTAAATTGTCACATATATTTACCAACACAGTTTGCAGTTGTTGTTGTTGTTCTTGTTGTTGTTGTTGTTGTTGTTCACAATGTTGTATTCTCACAGGGTTTCCAATTATGGTTAGAGCCCGGAAACTCACTATTCGAGAGCAACAACCTCTCAAAGTTGTTCTGTTGCTCTTCTGTCTTGAGTCGCTCCAGTCTTGTGTTGAGTTTTATGTGTCTCTCTTCATATACAGTAAACTGACATTGTAAGAGATTGGTGTGGGCTAGCTTCTCGCTAAAATAGTCAAAGAATGAAAGAAGGTGGATGTTTTAATACGTTAACGGACAAATCTGTTCAGTCACTTCGGTATCAATATCTGAAGTAAAGAAAATAGTCTCGTCTTTGAAGGTTTGTTTTAACATCAGCCAGCTGTAAACTGTGATATTTGACCTGCAGAAACATGCAATGCTGAGAAGATAAACCCCTTTGAAAGGTTTCCTTAGCGTATTAAGAGTATATTGAGCTGGGGAACACAGGACCCTGGAACATATCTACACACGATGTAGAGTGTGTTCTGCAGAGAGGTGATTACCATCGGCAGCAGAGGAAGGTCTCTGCAGATCTAAAGCCTGCAGAGTGCTGTCCATTAGCTCAGAGGATTAGCAAAGGGTTAATGCAGTCGAGAAAACGGGAAACACTGCAGCCAGCAGCGTAACTCCTACACTAATAACCCTTACAATGTACTTTTACTGGGACATGGCTTTTAATAGAACAATCTCTGGTCAATAAAGAACATCTCTTTCTCTAGCTAGCATTGTTTTTGTTGGATATGGAGAAGTTTACTTTGATGTTTCTTGTGTAATAGATGCGCTTGAAGTTCATAGATCTTTAGATTAAAATACAGCACAAACATGTCTAAATACATTTTATACAAACTCAATGCTAAGAAATATACATGTAATTAGTGTTGAAATGTAACTAAGTACATCCACAAAAGTACAATTTTGAGGGACTAGGTTCATTTAGTCGAGTACTTTATTTATTTATGTACAGTTTTGAGGTATTTGGACCTTACTTGAGTGTTTCCATTAATAATCTAGGCATATTTCTGCTTCTTTATACTTCTAATCCGCTACATGTCAGAGGGAGCTATTGTATTTTATACTTGTAAACAAGTTAGATACCATTGGTTATTTTTCAGATTCATAACAGGGGCGGACTGGCCATTGGGAATACCGGGAGTTTTCCCGGTGGGCCGGTGCTGTGCGTGGGCCTAAATCCTACCGGCCCACATTTGTAAGTATTCCGGCCACTCCCTGAAGTGGCCCACTGGGCTGGGCTGGGTCGTTTTGATAGGCTACCTATGTTTTATCTATCAGATAGTTTCACTTTCACACATCAGGCCCGTAGCAGCTGTCAGTGAACGATCAGGAGTGAGTGACTGAGAGACCTAGCTGGCAG